TTTCCTACTATTTCCCCTTATCACAATTTTATCCCATGCATTCCATCTTTAATGTAATCACAGTACACATGTACAATTACACTATACAAATAACAATTTTGCATCTATAAACTTAAGTAACCTGAAGGCAGTTGAATTTTTCTAATCTTAATTAAAATTAAAAGAGAATTTCACACTAAAAATATGGTAAAATATGCCACAATGAAACAAACCAACTTAAGAAAAGGTTTAAAGTAATGTACAATCAATAGATTCACACTTAAAACAGGAGTACAAAGATTTTACATTCACCTGATACAATAAATTAATTAATTACAAGTATTTTTATTAAACTACCGCCATTTTTATTTAGTATGACAGGGATATTAGTAGCTCAACTACTTATAATCAACTCTACAGATGTACAATTATTAAATGAAGTCCATTGTGCCTTTTCACAATTCCTTACATTAAAATCAATCATTTAATAGGCTATTAAGTTTTTCTGATTTTGATACAGTTTTAAAGGTGGTTTTAGACTATCTCTATGATAAACTATATTGTAATGACACAAACTAAATCAAGAGAAGGCCTAAAACAATGTACATACAGTAAAATAACCCTTCAAGGTTAGAGAGTATAGAAATTTGTACACTGAGTTAATATATATGAAATCAATCATTACATAGGCTACTAAGTTTTTCTGATTTTGATACAGTTTTAAAGGTGGTTTTAGACTATTTCTATGATAAACTATGTTGCAATGAGACAAACTAAATCAAGAGGAGGCCTAAAACAATATACATACAGTAAATTAACCCTTCATGGTTAGAGAGTATAGAAATTTGTACACTGAGTAAATATATATAAAATCAATCATTATTAATAAATATTTTTTATCAAATTACTCCAATTCTTGTTTTTATGATGACATGAAAAAGATATTTAGTCAAACTTCACATAATTAACCAAATAAATGTAAAATTTTAAAACTGTTTTTTGGGGATTTTCGCTCCAATTCTTGGTTAGCCTAACGTTTTTGCAAATGAAATTAAAGTGTTAAATTGAGGTACTTACCCGTAATAATGAGATTTACTACGGCATCTTCTTAGGTTTTTTATTGCTGACGCTTCCTTTTGTCACAAAATCGTTGACCACTTTTTAAATTTAAACTTAACAAAATTATAATTATCACTAAATAATATAAAAAACTAATTATATCACATTAAATTAGATTCAATAACAAAACTTTTGATACATAACTTATAACTAAATTATTAAATAAAACTATTAAAAATAAATTAAATAATTTGACATGATGTAATTGCGTGTCAATCGTTGCACTCCCGCGCCCTCTTCTTATTACTATTATTAAAATGGCGGTTTCTGAAATCAGCGGCAAAATGGTAGGTTTAACGGTTTTATTTTTTAAAAAGGAAATTTATCCTTTGTTGGAAGTAAAAGTGAGAAAGATAGCGATAAAACGTTTCGTTTCTTCTTTTTTTTCTTCTGCTGCTGCTGTTGCCGTTATTGTTGTTTTTTTTTTTTTAAATCGACGTATCTAAGAAACGGTTAAAAAAACAAACGTGTGAGTTTTTCTATTAAAATTAATTATCCAATTCGATAATGGATAAAAACAAAAAAAAAAAAAGAAGAAAAAAACCATCACGTTACTATTAAATAAATTAGTATTGTTATTATTATTATTACCAATTTTTTTTTTTTATTGTGAGATGAAAAATCGTTTATAGGTGATAGGAAAAAAACAAAAAGGAGGGTGGTAAACAACAACAACCCTTTTGATTTTTCATGTTGTAAACAAATGATATACCTACGTTTTCAAAATAAAAAAAATAATTACATATTGAAAAAGGAAAAAAAAAGGAAAATCAATTTAAAAAAAAAAAAAAAATATTTTTTTTTTCCTCTTTCGTATACGAAATATAAATTGCGTATAAAACACCGGGAAGGGGGGCGAAGTGAGGGGGAGGCGAAAGGGGAGAGAGAGAGAAGGGGAAGAGGGAAATACAAAAAACATTTAAAAAATGTTAAATTCGTACTACTACTATTTTTTTTTCTTTTTTTTCCTATTTTTCATTCTCTTTCCCACGCTTTTCTTTTCCCCCCTTCCCCTCCTTCTTTTCCTCCCTCCTTCCTCCCTGCCCTTCTTACTTTGACTACCCTTACCGTTAGATTTTTTTTTTTTTTTTATTTACTTTTATAGGAAATAACCTTTCGAGTAAGATTTCGAAAACTGAAAGATTTTTCAATCGGAAAAAAAAAAGAACCTTAAAATTCAAAGCCACCAACAAAAAAAAAAAAAAAAAAGAAAAAAATAAGAAGAGGAGGAAGAAGAAGAAGAAGTAGAATAAAAAAAAAAAAAATTGAAAAGCGTTATAAAGAAAACTGAATTTTGTAAAAGTCAAAATAAATTTTTAGGGAAAAATCATTTTCACGGAAGAATAGCCAAGAGAAAATCATACATCAGTAAAAAAAAAGAAAGAAAAAAAGAAAAAAGGAGTGAGAAGGAGGTGGAAAAGAGGGAGGAGGAAAAGGAGGAGGAGGAAGAAGAAGAAGAAAAACCCAAAAGAATTGAAAAAAGTTGCGAAAGAAATCGCATTGAAATTTTTTTTTTTTTAAGAATGAGTACTGATGAGAATAAATTCAATTGTTGACTCCCCAACCTCCCCGAATCCTTCCCATCGATGGAAAAAGCCGTGGAAAATTTTTGTTTTTTTTTTCGAACGAATAAAAAGGTAAAAAAAAAAAATTAACGGAGAAGGAAAATAGAAAACAACTCGGTGTGTTTGCCCAGCTTTCACCAACTGGAATCTATCAGTGCCCCTCATCGTTCCAGGGGTAAAAAAAAAAAAAATTTGCATTTTATTGAGAGGATCGAAAGTGGGAAGACAGGGAAAAAGGAATGAAACGTGTGAAAGAGAGAGATAGAGATAGAGACAATGTCCTGATTACCGTATATTCGTGCATGTTTGTTTGTCTTTTTCGTACAACAACCGCACGCCTCCCACCTCATCACAATTTTGTGCAGGAAAAAAAAAATTTTTTAAAACGCGCGTTTGTATTATTGTCGCCATATATTGTTGTTTGTTTGTTTGTCTGAGTCGTCTGCATTATTATTTTATTATTATTATTTTAATTGTAAAAAATTTTTTACCATAGCTCGGAGGGATAAATTTGAAAAATTTGTTTTTTAGGATTACAAATAAATTACAAAGGCAGATTAAAGAATATAATCAAATTTTGCCCTGGAGAAACTCAATTATCAACCCGGTTAATTGAAATCCATTTTTCTTTTATATTATGTTGCCTCATGTGAATACACTCCCCTTTCGAGTACGCCGCGTAACAAAATAAATGCATAAATTTTATACCCTCCTCCTCCTTCCTCCCCCCCCCAAAAAAAAAAAAATTTCAAATGAAAATTATGCTTGGAAGATTATTATTTTTTTATTTTTTTTTTTTGCGGGAAAACCTTTTCCAAAATCGGTTTTAAATTTTACGGTTTCCCCCCGTAAAAACCATTATTATTATTATTATTATCAACAGTATTTTCGTTATCAATTAAAAAAATTTCGCGCGTAAAACGTAAAAAATTTCCAGTTGGAATTTTTTTTTCCACTTCGAAAATCTCCAGATTTATATATATATATATATACAAACAATTATTGAATCTACTCGTACAAGACGATTCGATTTTGGCACTATTCACCCCCCTTCTCCACATCCGCCCCCCCAACACCACCACCACCATCGTCGCCGCCGAAAAAGTAGAAGAAAAGAAAAAAAAAACTTTACAATTATTTGAATTTAATAGTTTGGGGTCTTCCCAAGTCAAAAAGTTTTTTTTTTTTTTTTCCTGTTTTATACTGACTGACTGAAAAAGGGTAGAAAAGGGAAAAGGGGGATGATTAAGGGATCAATATTAGGACGCGTGCGTGTCACGTGCGAGTTAAAAATTTTCTACGCTCTACGGATTTTATCCATTTCGTATCGGGTTTTCATAGGATAAACGTCGTGTTTGTCTGTCGTCAGCCGGTCCCCCATATAAAAACGTTACCATTCGTGCTGTCGGACGTTTTTCTTTCTTTTTTTTCTTTTTTTTTTTTTTTTTTTTCCTTTTTCATATTTTCAAACTTTTACCCAGGTAAAATTATTATTATTATTTTTTCTTCTTAAAATTAATTAATTAATTAAATTTTTAACGTAACGTTTTCAATATAATTATTATTATGTATTAAAAGTGAAAGAAAAGAAAATTATTTTATATAAGTTTTTCCGCGTAAAGTTTGTTTTTTTTTTTTTTTATGTTTTTGTTATGTTTTCCGTTTCTTCTTACCCCCTATTCCCTCCCCACCCCTCCCAACCCCTTTCTTCGCCGTTTGTTAAAAGTTTTTGTTAATTATGTTTTAAAACAAATGTTGTAAACATATCGAACGATTAAGAAAAAGAAAAAAAAATAGGATAAAATTTTTATTTAATTAAGTGAAAAATAAATAAATAAATAAATATTGAAGATGACGTGTTTGTTGTTGTTGTTGTTGTTGTTGCCGCCGTAAAATAAAACAAACAAAATTATAAAAGTTCGTTAAAGAAAAAAAAAAAAAAAAACGCGCGTAATTTAATTTGATCGCGTCTTTTGAAAAAAAAAAATTTAAATTTTATTATATATTGTTTTAAACCGGAAGTTGAATAAATAAATTTAAAACCTTATGTAAATAATAATGATGATAAATTTTTTTAACGCCACGAAAATGACGTAATTGGCGGTTTTTTGGCGGCGTTTTTTTTTTTTTTTTTGTATTATAGAACCTCATTGGTTAATTTGCATTTGCAATTTTTTTTTAAGGGCCAACAAATATTTTTTGTCGTCGTCGGTTGTTGGTTGTCGGTTGTCGGTTGTGACTTGTTTTTCCGTTTGAAGTCGCGTTTATAAGATTTTGTCGGATAAAATTTTTTTTAAAAAAAAAAATAAATAATTGATTTGTGTGTTTCAGTGTGTGATGGAAGAAGTGGATCCGCTATTGGATAATGAGTGCCTAGATTGCTTTGAAGATTTCGGACCCCCACCGGATGACATATTAAGGATACCACCACCGCCTCTACCATTTTTTATTAAATTAGATCAAAGAGAACATTTTTTATGTAATAATCAATGTATAGGAAGTCCGAAATTTCAAGGGATCGAATTTATTGACTTGGGTCAACCTTGGTCATATCAGGATAGAATTTGGTTGTTGATATTCTGTGCGTCGTGTTTAGGGATTCTAATATTGGGGGGTTTGATAACATTTTTAATATTTAAATTACGTACGAAAATAAAAACTAGGAGTGATAGTGATTCGATTGTTCGTGGCACGTCAAATACGTCAAATACGGATAAAACAAACGATTGCGAATCCGTTTTATATCCATTTCCGGCAACATCGACCGGTGACGGACGGGTTTTATGGGCTACATTATCACCCGGTGGTACGACTCGTCATTACACTGCGCCCAATTCCCGTCCGGACGTTACTTTAAGTTATTCAAGTTCTTCCAAACCGTGTTTACCACCCCCCGAACCTCCTCCCGTGGGTTTCATAATGAATACAAATTTTATCGATTCGGATTCGCAAACTCCTCTCATGGAATGTTTTCAATTAAACGAATTCGTCGAACTCGATGGTACGACGAGTCATTCTGTCGCATTGATGAGAAATTCAACGCACAACAGACCGAGAGTGTCTTCGCCCACGAGGATAGAAAATCCAAATTTACCACCTTTGAACCTTCATCCCCATAGAACGTTTAGAAAGGCGACGATTCAAAGGAGAGATTCCGATTTTATTTGCTCATCTCCGACATAATAATTTTATCATTATTATTATCATTATCATTATTATTATCATTAATTATTTATTTATTTATTAAAATTTAAAATAAATCGCTTATTTTTTTTTTTCTAAAATTTAAAATATTAAATTGTTGATGATTAAGATGATATGTTCGTGTTTGTTATTGAATTATTATTATTATTATTATTATTATTAATTTTGCTTAAATTGATTTTAAGCCGTGTTACGTAACAAAAACTAATAATAATAATAATAATAATTCTTGTAAATATTATTAATAAGTTAATAAAAAAAAAAAAACTTCCCGCTGTTTTATCATTATTATTATTATTATTATTAATTATAATTTTTATTTTGCTCCCCCCTCCCCGTTAATTTTTTTAAATAATAATAATAATAATGATAACAAAAAATTTATAAAATATATATAAATATTTAATACGAAAGCAATAATAATTTTTTTTTTTTTTTAAATTGGATTATTAAAGTTATTAACTTGATTATTACCAAAATTTATATATACATACATAAATACATAAATATTCAATAAATAATAATAATAAATCTCGTAAGCTCAAAATATAAATTATTTATTATTATTATTATTATTATATACGTATGAATTCATTTTAAAAAAAAAAAAAGAAAATTACCTACGATGATAATAATGATAATGATAAATAATAATAATAAATAATTAATTAATTGTTATTTAATAACACGTAAAAAAAAAAAAAATCTTCAACGCGAGAGCTTTTAAAAATAATAATAATAATAATAATAATAATTTTAATTTGCTTAACGCTTAATTAAATTTTATGCTTTATTATTATTATTATTATTATTATTATCATTATTATTATTTTTAATAACTTATCATAAATTTATTAATATGCAAAAAAAAAAAAAATAATGATGATGACGATTATTAATTAATTAATTACTTTTAA